TCGGCGGGGACAAGGGCGGGAATTTCGGCTGTTCCGGGGACACGCAAGACGCATCGGTCGGTCGCGACCAGTCTCGAGAGCGGTCGACGCGAGCGAGCGGCCGAATCGATGAAAAGAAATTTATTCGTCGCGAGCGCCGGCGGGTTTAAAATACGGCGTCGACGTCGAGACGACGACGACGACGCCGCCACCGCCGCCGCCGCTGCCGCCGCCGCCGCCGCCGCCGCCTCCGCCGCCGCCGCCGTCGCTGCTACCATTGTCGTCGTCGTCGTCGTCGTCGTTGCGTCCTCGGGGGTAACACTGCTACCTGGTAACACTGTGGAATTACATCGGATTCTTTCTCGTCGCGCCGGTATGCCAGAATCGGACTGGAATTCAGGGAGAGAGGAAAAAGAGATAGACAGAGAGAGAGAGAGAGAGAGAGAGAGAGAGAGAGAGAGAGAGAGAGAGAGAGAGAGAGAGGGGGGGGAGAGAGAGAGGGAGAGAGAGAGAGAGAGAGAGAGAGAGAGAGAGCCAATGCCGGACATTTTTTTCGGCCACTGCCAGGCCGGAGCTGGGCCGAGCCGAGCCGAGCCGGGTCGGGTCGAGCCGGGTTGATGGAAACGCGGCGTCGCGCCGCCACCCGTATTATTACGACGACGCGCGACCGGACGGACGAGGTCGACTCGATTCTCGGAGCCATGGACCTCCGACTTTTTTTCCACCCGGGACCGCTCTTCGGTCCTGGACAAATTGAATTTAACTCCGGCGCTAATACGTCCGCCGAAAAACGCGCCTCGCCGCGCGAAAATCACGCCGCGATTCACCGTCCGTCCGCGCCCTTGTTTCCTCTCTCGTCTCGCACGAGATCGCGTATCCGCTCGTGGTCTCTTTGAACGTGATATCGTAGACCCGCTGGCGGCGGGTCAATATGGCAGTTAATGCCGACGAGTAAGAAGACGTTGCATATCGCCGTTCGCCGTGAGCGCTTGATTTGCCCTCGAGCTGAAATTCGGGACTGGCTCTATCGAGATAAGTCTTTCTCACTCGTGTGTGTATGCGTGTGTGTGTGTGTGTGTTGTGCGTGTGTGTGTGTGTGTGTGTGTGTGCGCGTGCGCGTGTGCGTGTGCGTGTGTGTGAGTGTGTGTGTGTGGCTGTTTGTAAAAACGCCCTAGAATCGCGTTAATTTTCGTGAACTCCTAATCGGAGAGTTGCAAAATTAATATAATCAACTGATTATCTTCATACAGTTTGCTTGTAAGAGAGAAAAAGAGAGAGAGAATTATTATAAAAACGAGATATGAAAAATACCTCAGATCGATATTTTATATATATATATATATATATATACGGAAGCAGACGTAAAGATTCGACTCTACGAATTTTTGCGCAGCTCGTTGATAATACTTTTAATATTAAAAACACCCACGCGGGGCGCTTTTTGTCGGCGTGGATTTGGAGCGCGTTGCGTTCGTCGTGCCTTTCGCACATCGCGCCGCGACCATCCCAATTTTCGCTGTTATTAACTTCGGTGAATGAAAGTATACGGTACGTATGCGCGCGTGAATACCGCTCTTTTCGCTGTTTCCTTGTCATACGCCCGGCACGCAGTTTACAGCCGTGCAAACCAATTTTTATTGGGAGGGTAATATTGAATTTTGACAGTGCACGCGACGGATGGCCATGGTACGCGAATTTCTTGTGAATTCGCTGCAAAAGTGATGTTTTGTTCATCCGAGACAAGAGAATCGTCGAGTTGTGCGTGCGTGCGTGCGTGCGTGCGTGCGTGCGTGTGTACGTGCGTGAAATATGCAGCACGGGACAAAATATTCCTTCCCCGTGAATTCGAACGAGATTCAAATGACGAAGAAGAAATTGCGAGAACGACGCCGTTTCGCGCACACACACACACGCATTATTTACGTATCGATTATTATACGAGCGTTAATCGTGCCAATTTTAGAAAAACGATATTTTTTACGACCGTGTTTTACCGCGTTCTCGAATTTTTGCGCGATGCGATATTGGAGCGTTCGCGCGAGATATATTGCCTCCGTCCGCTTGTCTCGCTTAATACGAGGGCTGCACAAGTCGCGGGAAAAAGGGCGAGATATGCCATTAGGGTACGTCTTGGTCTTTTAATTCCGAAAAGGGCAGACGGCACGTTGGAGAAGCGCGAGTAAAACTGCTCGCTCGGCGTGCGCTATGCGCGCGAATTAAAAGCGCATGCATTCAGCCGTCTCGTGTCGCGAAATGAACCTCACCTCGCGACGGTCATACTCGTCACTGTCAGTCGTCGTGTTAACGAGAGCGTGTGTTCCGTCGCAACGACACGGAGGTGGTCTTGGCAAACACGGCGAACTGACTCGATATTCTTTCGCGGCGCGGCCGCGAAACGCGCGCTTCACCGCAATCGGCGATGATGGCTTAAGCGCCGCCGCGGGCCCGCGCCGTGGCGAAAAATCGCTATTTCAATCCGGCCGCGCGACCATCGCGCGCGGATCTCATTGCATTTTCCGAGCGAATTTTTCGAGCGTCGTACGCACAACAGCGGCAAATTTTTCTCGCATTGTCGCCCCCGAATGGTCGATAATTAATTTCGCCGAATTGGGAATGCGAGGTACTACGTGTTACATATTTTACTACATTACTGAACTTTTGAGCATCGATTCGCGAATATTCGATGCGCGTTAGGTCGACTCAAGCGCGGTATGTTACTCTCCCGATGGAAAAAGCGCGCGGCGTTCCGTGTCGAAAAATGAGGAGTCTCGATCGCGATTTGACGTGTTGCGTGGCGCGTTGATCGTGGCACCGCGAGTGCGACTAACGAGCAGTTAATTAGCCTATTGAAGCAGCAAAGACAGGCGGTCGAACTTTCGCGATGTTCGACGGTTTTTGAGAATAGCGAAATTAACAGCGAGAGAAGGGAGGGGATCGTAATTTAAGCGCGACCTGCGAAACTTTCTCGATTTTTCACTCGCGACTTTGAGATTCCCTCGGCGAATTCGAGAGACGAGTTCGACTCTTAATCGCTGTCGTCGGCGCGGGTACGGCGTGAAGGAACGAGATAAAACGCCGAGGATAACGCTGAAATGCGCGATCAAACCGCGAATGCCTCCCTCTCTCTCTCTCTCTCTCTCTCTCTCTCTCTCTCTCTCTCTCTCTCTCTCTCTCTCGGCATCTTTCTCTCGCACTCCTCGCATTATTGAATATCGCCTATTTGCCGGGCAACATCTTCTCGCTCGTTCGGTTGCGCTTATCGCGTCGCTGTTTCGACGACTTTCGCCCTCCTTCCGATCTCTCCCACCGCGGCGGGGGGCCGGCGCGGCGCGCGCTTGCCAGAAATATCAATTTGCGCGGGAGTGGTAACAGTTTGCTTGATTTGGCACGGCGCGGCTTACGTCCGAAATAAATCTCCGCGAGTGCAGTGTCGGCGGCCCGGCCCCCGGAAACCGATTGTCTATTCGGATTTGACACGAGAGGGGCAGCGCAACTCGGCCCGACTTCGCTCGCGCGTGGACGATATCTCATTTTCGCGCCGCTCGACTCGCCGCGCGCGTCTTATTTATTCTCCCGGCCGATTCGATCGATAGCTCGTCGGGAAATGTGCTCTGTCACGCGCGCGTGGATGAACTATTGCTCGTTTTATAGCCGTGCGCTGTTTTTAAATTCGTCGACGTCGCGGCACACACGTGCGCGCCGCGTCGCGCCGTGTCTTTATGTCCAACGCCGCCGCCGCGAGTTTCGTGTGCCGCGAATGCAAATTTAAAAGGCCTGTCCATTGATAGGCAGCCACCTGGCGGAAGCGCATAATAAATTACTACGGTAAACTCGTAATTGTTGCTGCGACAATGAGCGTTTTGTCGCGGAGGTAAATGCACTCGGAAAGCGGCAATCCCTCCGGTCTGAACGTCGCGCTTCGTAATATCCCGGCTCAGATTGCGCGCGCGCGTACATTCTGCCGTCGGATGTTGCGTCTCGTTTGATTTTTCTACTCCACGGCAGTGCGCGCTGCTTCCTCACGATTTCTCTTCTATGTATCGACGTTTTTAATTCTTATTCTTAATTCGATTTCATTCGGGCTAGGCGATTTCTCGTTGCTCGTTAAAGACCCGTTCAATAATTCATAGAGGATAATTGATCTCATCTGTTCGCGGTTCGCGTGCGAGTGTACCCCCTTACAGCAGGTAGATCAGATAAGAATGAGAGGCCGCGCGTCGGAAGAAAGACGCCGTCAATCGTGAAATTGACGGCCGATCGCTGCGCGGATCCGCGATCCCTCCGAGCTACCACAACCCTCCGAATCGCGATCGCCGCTAAATCCCACCGACGACAGCGGCGGTGGCGGTGGCGGTGGCTTTTCGCGCGCTAGAGAAGCCAATGGAAGAGAGAGAGAGAGAGAGAGAGAGAGAGAGAGAGAGAGAGAGAGAGAGACGGGGCCCACACGCGGGAAAATAATAATAAGAGAGGCGCCCGCGGGGTTTGGGGGTAGGTGTACCGGCGGGGAGAAGCGCGAGGGGAACAGTGGTGGATGCATAATTGAATGAAAGCGTGGCGAACAGAGCCAAGGGGTAGTTCCTACGACTGGGAGGGGGCGGAATGCTATAATTTCAAGCCAGACAGTCATGCGTTATTCAGCGCCGAGACTCTGTCTCTCTCTCTCTCTCTCTCTCCCCCCCCCCCTCTCTGTCTAATTCTCGCTCTCGTTGTCGTTCTCTCTCATTCCCTCTCCTCTCCTCCGCCTTTTCCGCGCCTCTGCGCAACCCTTCGAAGTTCCACCTCTTCATTTTCTCCTCTCCTTTTCATCCTGACCCCGCTGATCCTCGCTACTTGTGTCCGTCGTCTCACACCCCCGTCTCACAACCCTTCTTCGCCCGTCGCTCTGATCGTTCCCGATTCGTCATTCGCGTGGATAAGTTAAGCGCGATGACAAGTAGGCAGCAGGACACGTACGCCCATCCGCACGACATCCGCGGGGTGCCGCATCGAGCTAATCGTCCCCGTGGCTCTGTATGTTTCAGGACAGCGATAATCTTTGGTGGGACGCTTTCGCGACTGAGTTCTTCGAAGACGACGCCACCCTGACGCTCACCTTCTGCTTGGAGGACGGACCGAAGAGATACAGTGAGTGTATTATTTGCCTTTACATTTAACTCTAAAACTATCGATTTACATGGACTCGTGTTTTATTCATGAGCCCCGCGAGAGCAAGCTAACGCGTCTGAGGTAAGCGCGTACGCCTCGCATTCTCGTCAGATCAGATCCTCCATGTGAATAATATATATATATATATATATAAATTTGTCGCGCAGCGCGCGCCAAATGAAAATTTCGGATTTTTGTACAAATCAAAGCGGAATTGTCGATTTGATGATTTGAGGAAATACGCATCGAGTTGGGAAAGGGAGAATAGCGATTGACTCGCGGTCGAGGCTAAACTGTTCGGTAACTCGTGCTGGTTAGATGCGACTGAAGAGCGATAACTAGATCAGCAGGCTTGCACGATGTAGCTTTGTTGCAAAATATCGATTTTCTTATTGGCTACGCATGCCGGCAGTGTTCGGTTATTTCGATTTTGAGCCAGGACAAGTTGCCAAATAGCGAGTAGCACGTTTAGCACGCGAGATCCACCACGAGATTTCTCCTAGCTGCACGACGGAATCTCTCTGTCGAGAAAGCTGGATATTGCGTACACAGAATATATCCTTTTGCTACGAGCTGCGCTTTAACGTGCAGATATTGAAAGCGATCTTCTGTCTTAGAGGAGAGGAGAAAGAACAGCGGAAAATATAATATATACACTAGACACAGTATAAATACGTGATATGAATTAAATTGAAATAACGCAGAGGCTAGATTAAATTATATTCATCGAGAATGAAATTATTCCGATGAAACTGAGTCATTAAATGAAACCGATCGATTCAATCTGCGGGAGAAATGTAGCGTCACGTGTTGAGTTTGGTGAAGAGCCTATCTCTTGCTCTCGATAGGAAAGAGGGGGAAAAACGAAAGAGGGGAGGAGGATAACGTTCTCGAGTGGGTATCCGCGGAGATATCTATGTCCGTTATCTCCGTTTAATGCGATCGATTCCGCCGACGCGCGATAATTTCTTACACCTCGACGATACATCTCGGGCGATCCATTGTCACCGATACTTAATCGCCACAGCATGCCGGTCTCCGTCCCCCTTGCACTTGAATACGCGTATTGCACCGCCTCCGTTCTAAATAATGACGTGCCACCGCGCGGCAATTTTGCAGTCGGTGGATTTTAATGTCCGTTCCCATCGTTGCGGAGAATATACGACGACAACGTGATTACATGTCGCGCGCGGATGCATGTCGTCGTCGTCGTCGTCGTCGTCGTCGTCGTCGTCACTCGGGTATGTACAAATGACAGGTAGGTCCGTCGCTCGTACGCGGTATAAGACGCGGTCGAACGAGCGCGCTAATGTGAAAAGCATTTTGCAATTAAGCGCGGAAAAAAGGACTTTTCCATCCGACATGCTCTTCATCGTCTCGTCGACGCGACGCGACGCGACGCGACGCGACGCGACGCGACGTACATTACTTATACAGAGCGCGTCCGAAATCTCCGGTGGGGATGCGCGAGCGGCGGGAAGAAGAAGTGAAAAATTAACGATATCCCTTCGTCTGTTCTTTCCGCTCGAATGATCCTTCACGACCTTCGTGATACATGTTGTTAAATCGATCGCGACGAGCGCGGCGGGATTCTTCGAGTTCTATGACTCGCGAAATACGCACGACTTTGGTATCGTACATCGGGGGAAGGTGGTGGATCTTATCCGATCTAGAGGAACATCGATCGATCGGTCGCTCGATAACTCCCTGTCGATCTTAATCGTCGCTCCGTCTTTCTCTCGTGCAGCCTGCACGTTGTATTTAATTTCTAATCGTTCCCACTTTGATCCTTTTCAGCGATAGGAAGGACGTTAATACCTAGGTACTTCCGTTCGATATTCGAGGGCGGAGTGACGGAACTTTACTACACTATGAAGCACTCGAAGGAGTCGTTTCATAACACCAGCATAACCCTGGACTGTGATCACTGCGTCATGGTCACGCATCATGGAAAGCCGGTCTACACGAAGGTACGGGAGCGATCCTGCGCTGGAAGTCGCGCTTACGTTAGAATTTATCGCGCTTCCGATTGCCGGTATCTTCGCCATCTGTTCGACTTTCGGCAGCCCCAAACCGCGCCGATAACTATCAATATGTCCGCAATAACTGCAAGAAGTCGTAAATATGCCACTTTCCTTTCCGGTATTTCAAATGGAGAAACAATTGAAGAAATTCCTCGTGACTGTAACGTGTCGCGCAAAAATCATTATGCACAATTAATGATGACGTAAGGTCGACCGATTGTTGTTCACGCATAGATGTTACGGAATGAGGGAGGTGATGAAATTAAATTGAAGTTTCGTCGAATCGAGGTGAGAGAGCACGGTTTTCTAACGCGAGTTCCATGAACTTCTCGGTCCTTGGCTTGACGCGCGTCGAAATCAAGCACCCTCGAAATAGACGAGGCGGATATTGTTATCTGAAACTCCTTTTAGGTGTGCACGGAGGGTAGGTTAATATTGGAGTTCACCTTCGACGACCTCATGAGGATAAAGTCGTGGCATATGTCGGTGAGGGGGCATCGAGAGTTGGTGCCGAGGTCGGCCTGCATGCAGCAGGACCCGAGTTTGCTGGAGCAGCTCAGCAAGAACATCACCAGGCAGGGCATCACCAATTCCACCCTCAACTACCTTAGGGTGCGTATCCGCAGCGCGAGAGTGTCGTAACTCCGCCGCCGGATTGACCCGCGTCCACGTTCCCGCGAGTATGAAACTCGCTGGGATTTTTCCCTCCGCGACATCACGCTTTTTCCCCGAGCCGTCGAAGGAAGAATTGGCGCGACGAATCGAGAGACATTTCGCGATAGTGCAAAATAGATAATCGAAAATGTTGAATCAATTTTTCCTTCGCAGCGCAGAATTTCCTTTTCGAGAGGATCGATAGTAGATTGTCGCGCTTTTTTAAGCTTCGACGTTGTCGAACTTGTCTCGCTCTGGCGATTGTCGATGTGTATAAAAAAGAAAAAGAAAGAAGTATAATATTCCATCTGAAGAAATAACTTTCAGGACGTACGTTCGGGATTCGTGAGAATCCGAAGAGAACGTGTAAAATATTACGCATCTGCTATTTAAAGAGCCGGAGATATCGGAAGTAAACAATCACGGGCGGCGCGAAATAATGGCGGGGAAACGATCGCGGCGGTAGAAGGTGTGCCGGCGCGCAGGGTTAAGCCGAGCCTGTCTCGGAATAACGTTCTCGAAAGTACACCGGCTATCCGGGTTACGATTCACCTTCTTTCCGCGCTCGGAAGCGCGCTTTCACCGAGCGCCCGCGCATTCCGCCGTGTATCGTCCCGGAGAGCCGGTTGAAAAGCCGTCGATTGTTACGTCGCGGGAAAGTCCTCGCCCATTGTTGAACTAGTACACGATGTTCGGAAAGTACGAGCGGGTAAGACCGACCGGCCGGCTCGGATAATTTCTCCTTTCGAACGACGAGGAATCACCGACGACGACGAGAGCGCGCACTGACGAGCGTGCCATCCTTGAAATTTCAACTATGTTCTCACACTCACACACGTACTCTCCCAGTACAGCGCGATAAATGAGCGACCGTGACTTGAGCGCACCAAGTATGTTATGAGATGCGAGGTGCTCTGCAGAATGCCTGATTCTCTCATCTGAACGAAAAGTTTGTGTAAAATCGCGTAAAAAGAAGTTGGTCGAATAATGGAAGGTGACAATGAACGAGCCAGAAGCGTCTCGATCGAAAGAAATTGAATTTCGGCTTCCGGGGAATTAAAGTCGGTTTTAAGGAAGAAAAATTCGATTTCCTACAAACAAAACGCATTTGATTTGTTCGCTGTCACGTTCATTCGACTGGTTTTTCTTCTCGTGTATGTATATATATATATAAAAATTGCAATATATCGCAAACGCTGTTCGGTGATGTTTCGCGTAGTACTCGAGAACGAAGGAAGGACGGAGGAGCGGGATGACTCTCTTCGTGTGCGGCCTAGTTGTAACAGAGGGTTGTTCTTTTACAGTTATGCGTAATCTTGGAGCCGATGCAGGAACTAATGTCGAGGCACAAGGCGTACGCGTTGTCACCGCGCGACTGCTTGAAGACGACCTTGTTCCAGAAATGGCAGAGGATAATTGCACCGCCGGGTAAGAGAGGTAGACGAACAGTTGCTTTACATGAGAAGCACCAGCCAGTAAGATCCAACGGCCACCGTGTCGACAACGAGAATCGCTTTTTGCCGTCGCGGAACAACGACGCATCCGCTGTTCGTCGCTTCTCTTCGTCGCGCGACTCTTGGTTCCACTGGTTTTTCCTCGACAGCCGGGAATCGCCCAATTTTCCTCAGGACCCTCCTGCGACAGCGCTCCCCAGCTTTCCCTTGCTGAAAATCTCGCTGGTTTTTGCACCCGCGGTCGAACTTGGCGCGACCATATCGAATCGCGTCCTCTTGCGCAACGAGAGCACAATGTTCCCTAATGTAAATAATTGTCATCCGTTTTATAGACAGATCAGGCGAAGGACTGATCTTGTGAAGGTTTGCGCAGCATTCTTCCATATAATACATTCGTTTAATTTTATCTCTCTCGTTTCTACATTTCGTCTTTCATTTCACATCAATCCTAAGATTAGGATATAGCGATATACAGTTGTCGTCTCGCCCTTTGGATATTGTTGTACAAAGTATCCAACCAATTACGCAAGCTAAAATATATGTAATATAATAAGGAAGACTAACCTAGGTACTAGATAACTCGAGCAATAATAATGTATGCGTTTAGTGTTTCCTGCCGAGATCCCCACGTCCGCTCTCGTCGCTCTCTTTTATCGTCTTTATCGTATTTACGCGTTTCCTGTTTCTGTTCCGTGGCCTACGACCACGAAGCGACTTTGTAGGTCGTGCGTACACTTCCTCCATCTCATATCTCTCTCTGAGGATCGACAAAACCGTGGAACCAAGCGCGAACTACAAATATCGCGATATCGAGCATGTTTCGCTGTAAAGATCGCTTGAGAGCGCAAAGTATTAGCAAGCATGTGCGGAAGGGAGAGGAAGAGAATGAATGAGTGAATGAAAGAGAGAGAGAGAGAGAGAGAGAGAGAGAGAGAGAGAGAGAGAGAGAGAGAGAGAGAGAGAGAGAGAGAGAGAGAGAGAGAGAGAGAGGGCGGGGCCGGGGGAGGTGAGAAGGATGGAGACACACACACACGTATCTGAGCAATTTTGTGTGCGTGAATTTGCCTGCCTATCAGATGCATGCGAGTTTGTTTCGTGTCAGAGACCTTTGTTGATGAGAAAGGTCCACAGCTGGGTAGTGCTCTTCGATTTATCGTGGTCCTTTTATACTTTCCCGTCCCGTGTCCTCATCGTATCGAGACGTGTACGATGCGGATACGAGACGGACAAGTGTAAAGAGGACCCTTAGTACGCCACGCGTGGCTAAACGCCATCGAGTGCGCGCGCTGGTGTCATCGTGTTGACGAGAAGCCTCTACTTACAGAGTCTCAACGGCCTGCAAGTAAGAGAAGAAAGCGGAAGGGTAGTACGTCGGGGCCGGGCAACAACGCACCTCCTGCGCCGAGCAAGAAAAGATCTCCAGGGCCAAATTTTTCCCTCGCGTCACAGGTGAGCCGCTATATGAACAATAATGGCTGCCTCATGAGCGTAACTCAGTTGTAACTCACTACCGATAGTGCTGTTGATTCTTACTACCCAAGCAATCGAGTGTACGGACCAATTTCAGATGTTACAAATTATTAAGTTTTCTAACGATAACAGGTAAACAAACGAAAATACACAGACTCGTAACTATTTATTTGTTACAATTTCCTTGTCCTGTTTATCGGGGTAACGTCCGCGAATATGAATATCCGGATAATAATAACTGGATAATTTACGCGAGTTTGGATATCCGGCTGCAGAAATAGTCGGATTGCATTGGCAGCAGCACTGACCGCGCTATTCATTGCTGTTACTCATTGATCGCGCCAATGTACCTTTCGTGCGCGAAGCGAGGCGCTAATTATGTTTCTCTTGTTTCAATGCAATGTCAGGACGTAATGGTTGTGGGTGAACCATCACTGATGGGCGGTGAGTTCGGTGACGAGGACGAACGACTGATCACGAGGCTTGAGAACACTCAGTACGACGCTGCGAACAGTCTTGATCCTCATAGTCATGACGCGACAGGCGGCCCACCCCCGCATCCTCATCAGTTCCATTCGGAACCGACCCCAGGCAATTCCTGGCCGCCAGATCGCGGTCCTGGCCCGCCACAAGGTGGACCTGGCAGTCAGGTAACTAAATTGCAATGTTTGTACGATACGAATTGCGAGAGATTTTCGGCAGAATATGACGACAAAGGATAAAATTACAAAGCATTGCAAATATCGTATATGTATGTAAATTGTGTACTATTGGTGAATAAAACAAATATTCGTATGTTACTACAACGTCCTCTTCAGAAAGGAAAGAATTTATACATCAATAACGAAGACAAAATCCAAATTTTATCACGAATTCTAATAAATCTAGCTGCACGGATGCACACGGTGCATTATCCAAGATTAAAATTAATAGGATTTACGAGAAACCCTTTGAGAAATATAAGTAAATATAGTTCCCTCCAGTCTAGACACGATATGTAAAAAGTGTGTGTGTGTGTGTGTGTGTGTGCTATTCCAGGGTGTCCAGGGTGGCCAAGGTGGCGCGGCTGCGGGAGTACAGGGATCACAGGACGCCAGTCAACAGCAGCAAGACAAAAAGAGCCCCGCGGTGAGCCAGTGAGGCCAGGAGTCCCCGCGCCCCCCCACCAGGGGGCGACGGGGGCGCAGGCCCAAGAACGTGGCTCCCTAGCGGGGCGAGAATCCTAGCCTCCCCACCGCCGCCTATCTGGGCCCTCCCGGCTCCACGGCTGGCAGAATGTCGCACGTCGGCGTACTACCACCGCTTTCTTGCCAACCCGGTCTGCCAGCCGCTCACCATCATCATCCGGAGCAGCACCCGCAGTTAGGTCACGTGACCGCCGCCGCCGCCGCAGCCGCCGCGATGGGGATGGAATCCTCGGAGCTGATGGCAGTAGCCCATTACCAGGCGCAACAGCTGCAGCGACAATTGCTGGCCGAGCAATCGGCCACGGGCGCGATGTTACCGCCGTCTGCTCAGCCTACTGGTGGAGGTTTGACGCAGCCGCTCCAGCAGCAAGGACAGCAAGGTCAACTGCAACCGGGTCAGGATCCATTGCAGAGTCTGGTGCAGCAACTGCTCTGTCTACAGCAGATCGAGTACTTCCTCGCGCAGCGCGGTCACAAGTGATAACACTGAGAACATAGAACCGAGAGAGAGAGAGAGAGAGAGAGAGAGAGAGAGAGAGAGAGAGAGAGAGAGAGAGAGAGAGAGAGAGAGAGAGAGAGAAAGACAGATAGAAAGTAAGAAAGATAGAAAATTATTTCCATGCGGTAGTGACAACTGAACGAGAGAAATGAGAGGAACATACGGAGTGTACGGGACTCGATAATCGAGCGGAGAGAAATAGAGATGAAGTGGAACAGGAAGGAAGCCGGTGTTCGTGTGTTCACGCCGCTGCGAAAGTGCTGTTTCTATGTCGATAGACGAACTCTGCGCCCAGGCAAGAAGAGAAAGAGAAAGAGAGAGAAAGAGAGAGAGAGAGAGAGTGTGTGACTCGCGCCCGTCGACATTGCGGCTAACAGAACGAACCTACTAAACCCCACGTGGTGAGATTCTTCGAGTTCGCAAAGATCTTTCTGCTTTCGAACAGAGGGGAGATGATGTAGTGTCCGAGTATCTACCACGATACATAACTGGAGGAGGAATCGTGAAATCCGGATGATGATGCGGCGGAGGATGAGGATTGAGACGACGGAGGTTGTGCAAAGTGTACCCATTCATTAGAGGGTCACATTCGTTTTCGTTTCGGGACACCGTGTGCGGACGGTGACCTCCGAAAATTTAGAGGGGGTCGAGCGCTTTAGTGTGATAAAAACTTTATGTCAAAAATTATGTTAAATATGTGAGAGGCGAACGCGGAGAGTGACTGGTGGTGAGAGATCGCTTCGGACGGGAAACATTGACAGGAAAAAGGGAAATAAAAAAAAAAAGAAACGTTACGCAACACGTGGCAGAGACGATTAGCCCGCTCTGGCGCGAGTTGTGAATGAATCTCTGTCCGTAAACAGTATTCATATAATTAATAGAATAATTGAATATAAAAAAAATATTGTAAGAGGTAATCATAAGTACGTATTTGTGCAAACGTCAGTGTGCAAGTTAGACAGAATGCGCGCGGTGTGATAGTGACTAGAATGTGAGAGAGAGTTTAGCGTGAAAGGAAGAAGAGAGCAAACGAGTGCGCGAGGTTGCGAGTGCGTAAACAGGAGAGAAAGAAAGTAAGAAAGACAAAAAGGGATACGAGAAAGTAGAGAGAGAGAGAGAGAGAGAGAGAGAGAGAGAAGGGGAGGGGAGAAGAAAATAGAGAGCAAAGAGAGACGGGGGGGGAGGAGAGAAAGAGATAAACGAGAGACCGAGAATCGTCCTTGACTCGCAAATTTTTTTAACCGCCGAGACCGATCGAATGCCAACGCACACAACAGACCCTGCTAATTGCCCCGGGGACTCTTTATAGAATTTTATCCTTTATTATTACTAATAATTATTTAACGAACCACGAAAAGAGTAAGAGTATTTTGCACAGTAAGCATATATAAGAGACTTCGCTCCGAAGAAGGTTCACGCGACGTTGGAATGCGTTTATAACGCGGTGTTATGAAGTCTCTCGAGATCGAGACGACGGCGGGATCAATAGCCGCGGTGCGGGAAAATTTGTAAGAGAAAACGGCCGCATTTTTGACACACTATCGCATCGTATTACGTTTACGGCATATCGCGGTACGATACGTAGCACAGCACGTACCCACGTCCACGATGAATTTATATTCGATTCTTCATACGCGAATTATTATACCGCTAGCTAAATATTTTATTTTTCACTGATTCGAACGCGCTCTACCTTTTAATTTTTTTTTTTTTTTTTCTTTTTATTAATGATCGCACCATTAGGAACCCTGTAATTTTATGTAATAGCTGACACTTTATATAGTAATGCGCGTGGTGATTCGATACTTTGTACAATATACATCCGAGAAGAAAGCACACACAGATTTATGCATAACGTACATGAACATATGATATATATATACACATCTACGATACACATGTACGATTAATGCGTACACGTAAATTTCTATTGTATAAAGTTCCTTGCGCATTACATGTAAACGTCATGTATGTTCCTCATTATATGTTTAATATACGATGACATTTGTTCCTATTTTTGTATCGCTCTTTGTGATCCGTTATGTTCCTTTCTCACAGTATCGAGATGATTTTCAAAAAAGATTCTCCTCCGGAATTGGTCCTTTATTATGACAATCTTTTTTTAAATCATCGATATCGAATCAATTTGACGGATCAATGTGCTCTTCGGATCTTTGATTCGCCTCGTGAATCTTTTCCAGTTTCCAGATGCGACTGACTACAAATTTCGCAAGTTGCAATTTTAAACATTAAAAGGAATCCAATACACGAGAAGAAAAACTCGATTCATGTAACTGATTTTCTGTGGTCTGTGGACCGGATGAAAACTCTGTTGTAGGAAAAGTTGCTGCCACATACACACATAGATTTCTATTCAGTTAATTTTTCTTGTCTTCTTATCGGTTATAAAACCAAGTTTCAATGTAGGCAAATGTTCAATCGTCATCGAGTTTTCATCCGATTGTACACACTATTCCGTCACATGAATCGAAATCTTTTTTTCCGTACACCTTTACAATTTTAATTTTGCGCGGAATCGTACATATTCTCGATAATCGCTTTCATGAAAACGTTCTCGTCGACAAAGTCCGATGGCATATGCATTGACTGTGCGTTGAAATGTAAGAAAGGAACATCATTCTAGTTGTATAATTGTCATACATCACACGAACTACTATTCGTCGGCGCATTTTCCCAAATATGGCTGACGTCACTACGCGAGCGCGACGTTGGTACGAGCTCTGCTTCGATTTCGGAATTCAAACTCATCGAATATTACACGCGCAGATACATGCACATTCATATACCACATACACATATACGAGACCCACATAGACACACACACACACACATACACACACACACACACACACACACACACACACACACACACACACACACACACACAATTCGGATGTCGCTAATCGAACCGTTTGCACAAAATCATCCCGCAAAGGGAATCCGCGAAGTGGACTCGGACGTCGTTCGTGCCGTAGCGTTTTCAACGTCGGGGATCGTTCATCGATTAACGCGAGTCCGCGCTCCGCAGCACCGGAGAAGAAGTTTCCACTTTCAATTTGTACCGCGAAATCGAGGATCAAATTAGCCGCGAGGTGTCTTGACCGTAGCTCAGAAAGTACATTATGAGAACAGAGATGTATCGCGCCTACGGAATCTTCGAATCGGATCATCTTTGAGCGGGCGGATAAAAAAAAGAAAAAGAAAGTTCGTCCACTCGCTCGTAGGATTTTACATCGAAGCAGGAGGAAGAGCAGGACGAGGAATAAACAGAAAGAGAGAAGGACGATGTACACGTACACATATGTCGACATTTCGTCTTACCCATGAATTCCGTGTTTTCCGGAGCGAAAGCATATCACGCGGGACGGAGGAAATGCAATTTTAATAAGCGTGTACAAAGCTCATCACACATATAAAGCTCATCACGCATACACATCACGACACACGTCAGTGTCATTCGCCTTCTTTCTTTCTTTCTCTCTCTCTCTCTCTCTCTCGCTCGCTCGCTCTCTCTTTCTCTCTCTCTCTCTCTCTCTCTCTTCCTCACTCTTTCTCTCACTGTGTCCCCTTCTTCCTTTCTCTCTGTATTTTTTCCCTCTTCGATAATGAGGAACGGCGATCGCGCGAGACATCGTCGTTTTATTGTTCCCTTATTCGCTCGCCGATTTTCTTTAACGAAAACCTCCTTCATGTGCGACGCGTTGACGTTCTTTTCCTTTTCAATTGCGCGCCGAAGAAATGGTGATAACATGCAAGAGCGAACGTAGCTTACCCATAAAGATGTACGCATCCGCGGAGCGAGGCACGAGCAATCGCGCGTGTATAATTTGAAGGGGAGAAAAAAGGACACACGCTCGGAGCGCGTACGAGTTCAGACATACATGTATACATACTTTCATACACATACACACATTACACACACGTACGCCAGATTCATACACAAATCATGAATTAGTTAGGTAAGTCACGCGTGAAGCCAGTACAGTCCCACAGCGTGAGAGTGTGAGAAAGTAAAAGAAAGGGTATTTCATAAAATACATTTTGTGCGTGCATGCGGAGAGAAAATGAGAAAGAATGTTGAGCAATGTCGAAGAGAAAAAAGGAGAGTGAGTGTGTGTGCGTGTGTGCGCGCGCGCGCGCGCGCGTGTGTCTGTGTGTGTGTGTGTGTGTGTGCGCGTGTGCGTGTGCGTGTGTGCGCGTGTGTGTGTATGTACGTGCATACGTGCATGCATGTGTATTTCGAAAGAGAGAGAATGTGCGAGTGTGAGTGGTGATAACGAATGTGTATGATTTCAACACGAGTGCGAACGAAACGCAGTGGGTAGGGTAAATGATTTATTGAAAAATGTTGTATATTATTACGAATTATAATGATACTATTATAATTAATTAATTAATTAATTAATTATTATACCCTAATAATAATGTGAATTGAATTAAAACGACAAAAAATACACGAAATAATAAGTAATAGGCGAACAAATTTTTAATTGTTAGCAAAGCACACACACGGAGCCGTTTATCAATTAACACGCTACAGCCTAGGCCGCAAACTCGAAGAGAGTTACACTACACAGCGGCGCCGATCCGCCCGTCGAACGAAGTCTCAAGCGAAGTATGCGCACGTGGCAAAGTAACGAGAGAGTGCGGAGGCGAACGTCGTAGAATTTAAAATCCTCGTCGGGAGAAAGTGCATCGTCCAGCCTCGAGCGACACGACTCGCCCTCCGTATAAGGAAAGGACGACGTATTCTCGATGATCCTTCGTGCGCTAGAACGTAACCGTAACGTTCGTTCGTTCGCTCGTCGCAACACGGTAACGTGCTTCTCGCCGGAGAGTGAAGTCTCTCTCTCGACATTCCGTAGTATCAAACTAGTCACATTCGCAGGCAGGGAAGCAGCACGAACGTCTCGCGAGTCAGACGCGCGGATTTACGGCCGGGCTTTTAACCGCGCGTTGCTCTTGCTGATCCTTTGCTTCTTTCTATTTCGAGGAGGAAAGAGCCGAAGAATTTCGAGTCAACTGCCGGCGTCGGTAGGATCGCTCCGCGGATTTTGACGACAGACTGATTAAGTTTTAGTGACATCGCGTTATCGTTCGCTCGTTAGAGATGTTTTATACTTGTTGGATTATTTCTTTTTGGAAGTATAATAACGCGCAAATCGTTCCTCCGGAACGTACGTTAAACGGGAACAGAGTCCCGGACGAGTCCCAGCCGCTCGTTCCGTTCGAATAGTTGGCGATGCACTTCGAAACAGCGTTCGGAGTGGCTCGCGATGACGAAAGAGAGAAAGAGAGGCGAGATGTTGCGCATGCAAGTTCTCGACCGCATCCTCGACGTTCGCTATTCGAGAGAGCGATTCGAA